GACGGTGAGCTGAGTCCCACCCTCTGACTCTGAGGAGGCTGTTGGCCTTCAGGAGAAGAAAGCACAACTGGGACTCCATGAGGACTGGATGACGGTGGCCATGTTCTTTATCTTCTGGGATAGCGGTGATGGAGGTGGGAGTGGGGTGGGTTGGGAGAGACCCAGTAATATCCCAGATCTCCACTAAGTAACAGAATGCCTGGAAGGGCAGCCTTAAAGCAGACTTAAAAAAAAAAAAAAGAAAAACTCGTTGTCATCAAGTTGATTCTAACTCAGCGACACTATAGGACAGAATAGAACTGCTCCGTAGGGTTTCTAAGGTTTTAAATCTTTATGGAAGCAGACTGCCTCATTTTTCTCCTGCAGAGAAGCTGGTGGGTTTGAACTGCCAACCTTTGGGTTAGCAGACAAATGCCTCAACCTCTGTACCACCAGAAGTTCATTAAAGACCCTTAGAGCATGCTAAAATAGTGGCACAGCCTTCAGAATTCCAGGAAAACCTGAAATGCCCCATCAGGATATCTGGCCCACTCAACGGCGAGTCAGGCTGGACTCTGATGCAGTGGTCTACCAGGGTTGGACAGTTTGCTGGCTACAGGATCAGAAACCAGGACCCAACCCACCGAGAGTTGAAGGGAATCTGGGGTAAGTCTCCTTCCAGGGGCCTTCCAGTTTTAGAGGAGACCATGCGGTAAGTGGGGCCATTAGGCCTTTGAGGAGGAGAAAGCAGAACCATACCTTGAGCAGGACTGAAATGACTGTGGGTTTTGACCTATTAAAGGAGGATGAAATCAACTCAGTGGGTTGTGACCAACATTTTTTAGAACAGAACAGAATTTAACAGAGAATACCAGTGTTATATATAGTAAGTGCTGTTTCATTAATACATGGGTGCATATATAGGTGTGTGTACATATCTACTGGGTTGAGATGTAAAATATATTTTTTTATTATAAAAACATATATAACATAATATGCCAATTCAACTGAATTTTTTTTTTTTTAAGTTTGAAAGCTGCTGCTCTAGAAAGGGTGGATAGACACCACGAAGGGCCACCTGCTCAAAAGACAGGAGGCCAAGACCTGACTCAAAAGACTGCTTGGTTTTGGGAAGAAAGCACTGGCTTTGGGGTCAGGCAGAACTGGATGCCAAGCCCGGCTCTGCAGCTTACTAATTGTGTGACACTGGGTGAAACGCCTGAGCCCTGGCTTTGTTATCTGCAGATGTAGCCAGTGTCAGCAGCTGTCTCACTTATGGTTGTGGGGATGGGACTGGACATCACCTGGCCCACCTGGCCGAGAGCAGGCCACCACCATCATGCTGGTGTTCCTCTCCACTGGCCAGGATGGTGCTGGTTCTTCTTGGCCCCTGAGGGCAGACAGGGGTGGATTACTCACTAAGCAAGGTAAGCACGGGCTTACTTGTGCTTATTTACTAATCTATAGTGAACAGTTTCACAAACATCTGATCCTAGGGACAGCACCAGTCCCATGGTCCCTGTGTCCCCTACCCTCTTCCTTCCCGTCCCTGCCTGCTGAACTGTGGAGGAAGCTGGCTGTCAGGGCTTCTCCGTCTTCCTCCCCATCCCAGCACCTTCCAGACCCTCAAGGGTGAAGATGAGAAATAATCAGACTGCACCCTGTGGGAAGGAGATGAAGGAGAGGAAAAAGAAATAAGTTTTATTAAAGCCCCAAACACTTCGGCTAGAAAAACCGAAAAGGAAAGAGCAGGGAAGTGGGGAGAAGAAAAAAGGACATTAAAAAAGAGACAGAGAAAACACAGCAACCCTTTCCATTTAGAAATTGTCAAGTTACACCGACAGAGCTCACGGATTATCCACAGAAGCCATCACTGCTACACCAACACGGGCCCTACGGGGTGGGTGGGCAGGGGGTGGAGCCGAGCTCGCCCTGGGGGCCCCGCCTGGGGCCCACTCAGAACCTTGGGTGTGGAAGGGGCAGGAGAGAAACCCCCCATGCGAGTAACACAGCACAGTGGGTGGGGGCCTGGGGGGGACCAGGTACAGAAGTCCCCCCCGGAAGTCTTAGTTTTCTCTTGGTCAAGCACACACTGATGGACAGAGCAGTGAGGCGCATGCAGCTGGGGGGGCATTGACGTGCTGCAAGGTTTGAGGGGGCCTGGGGGTGGGGGGCTTGGGATGGGAGCCAGAGCGAGGGTTGCAGGGGTGATACACTCACACTCCCACACACCTAGCACATGCCTGTGCACATGTGCATACCACAGGAGCACACACCTCACACACAGGTCTCACGCACCTCCTTGTACAGGCCTCCGTCCCCACACGTGGCCCCCACACATACAAGTCTCTTGCAGTTACACATATCTGCACACACCCACTGCACACAGCCTCATCCACAAAGCTCTGCGCACACCATCATGCAGGTGGGCACATGCCAGTGCCCAAACAGGCTATGTACACCTATGTGTGCATGCCTCCCTACACACATGTGGTAGGTCACGCTCCGTGCACAGACACACATGCTTCCTCACACACGTAAGTGGGCTTGTGCCTGCACACGCACACATGTGCACACACACCACACGCACATACACAGGCTGCATGCAACCCCACACAAATGTCGCCCAGCCCATAAATGTTTGGAACCAAAGTGAAGGAGATGCAAATCCCGCTGGGTTCTACTCAGGCAGGTGAGGTGGGACACACGCAGGCTCCCTCCATCTGCCCCTCAAGGATGGACACTATCCCCCTCCTCTCCTCCCTCCCCCCACAGAGGGACATTCAACTCAGGACAGTGACGGTGGGGCACATATTCAGGTCACAGGGCTGAAGAAGGAAGGTGAGGGTGAGTGAAGAATAGCAAGCAAAGAGGAATGGAGGGGAGGGAGGAGGGGGCACAATTCCCCCTCCCCTCCCAAGTCAGGGGGTCTCTGTACAGCCAAATCAATCCAACCAAACCATGTCACTGGACCACAGAAGCCAGGCCAATGTGCCCACTCCCAGCCCCCCTCCCTCGCCAAAACAGTGGCCAGGGAGAGAGTGCCGTGGTTTTTTTTTTTTCTTTTTTAAATATTTATATATATTTATATTACGTATATTATATATATATATAATATGTAAATATATTTTTAAAACAATATAAAATGTTAAGACACTTCACTTAAATGTAAAGAGTTGCCTGCAATTAAAAGTAATTGCATCTTTATGAGGTCCTTTTTTTTTTTTTCCCCCTATTTTCCAGGGTTTTCTTTTTTTAGGAGGGATTTTTTTTCTTCTTTTGTTACTTTTCAAAAAGGCTTGCTTGCCTTTGTACAAAAATGATCCAAAGCTAAAAAAAAACAAGGATGAACCAACCAAAAAAAAAACCCAACAAGAACAAAAGAAATGAAGAAACACAACCCAGCTAGCTCCCCTCCCTCTCCAATCCCCCCACCCCCCATCCCCATTGCCCCAAGTGCTGACCTACCCACTGCCATGTCCCAGGGGCAGGAGTTCAAGTCTGGGGTAGCCCCCCTTCAGTGGCTCCTTCTTCCTGTGCTTACTTGGGGGGACTAATCCCAACTCCCCCCCTCCCCTGTGCTTACCCTACTTTGTGCTCCAAATCAGAACCCTGCTCCCTGGGAACCCTCACTTCCTCCTCCTCCCCTCCCCCACCCACATAATCTCCCTGCTGGCCCTTCACTGTGCCCTCTGTGGGGCTAGGGCAGAGAACCACAATGGTCTCTTCCTCCTCCTCTCCAAGACCCATCCTAAAGCCAGTCTTCAAGATCCATACCTTCTTGGGCCGTCCACAGGCCAGGGCTGGTCGGGCCTCAGGTACCTTCAAGGATCTCACTTGGGGCCACCAGCTTTCCATTGAAATACCATGTCCTACCTCCTCTCTGAAAACCCTTAAATCTCAAAGGGAGGTCAAGTCACACCCCACCTGTGGGGGAAGAGCTGTCTTTGCTGTCCTCCATCAACTGCCTCTAATTTCCCTCACCACCAGACCCTTCCCACCCTCCAGGCCTCAAAATCTAATCTTCTAGGTCCCTCTTTCTTGCCCACCCACCCCTATTAAATAAGTCAATGTCTTATAAAGTGCTAAATTAGGAAACTAAAAGTACCAAATACCCCTCCTAGGGGCTGCCCTCTCCCAGACAGTGCCCCCCAGTGGTGGCTGCCTGCTCAACCCACCCTCCACAGTCAGCAGGGCCCAAAATGCCTCCTTCCTCCGTTCAGCACAGGCCAGGCAGCTCCTCACAGCCAGTACAGTGAGTCCCAGCAAGCAAGCTCCTCTCCAAGGATACACAGATTACACAGCCTCACTGCCCCCGCCCCTGCCCCCACCAGAGGCCTTTCAAACTCCTGCCTCCATTTCCAGCCTGTCCATTGTAATGCCAGGCTCCAAGGGAGCATGAGTGGAGGGGTATAGGGTAGCAGCAGAGTTCAGTCATGTCTCCAGGTGGGACAGGAAGTGGGACCATTTCCAGAGCCAGAATCTCCCCACATCCCATTTTCCAGCTTGATATCGGTGTTGGTCTGACGTCCAGATGCTCCTCCAGGAAGGTATACAAGTAAGAGGAGAGGGGTCTCTCACAGCCTGCTCCAAGTCTCCGTGGCTCAGAGTTTGTCTGGAGTGCTCTTGGGAAGTTAGGGGGAGGTGGGGAGGGGAAGGGAAGGTGCAGAAACTTCGGGATGAACTGGGAGGAAGAGTGGTGAAAGAGAAAAGGGAGAGACAGGAAGTTGGGCCAATAAGAGGCCATTTTGGAACAGGAAATCAAGGGAAGGTGGTGTGTTTGGTTTTTAGTTTTACTGTTTCACTTTTTTAAAAAAGAGAAATAAAAGTGAGTCATTTAAAAAACCGAAAACACCAACAGAGGATGGGTGTAGACAGCTGAGGAGGCCACATCTGTGGCAAACCCTTCAGAGGGTCTGGAGAATGGGGTGGAGGTGGGGTGGAGATGAAGGGAAGAGTTGGGAGCGAGATGGCAGGGGCAAGGAAGGGGGATGGGCTGGAGTGGAGGTGTGAGGGGGCTTCTAGAAGGAGATGGAAGAATTCCTCGCCCCAAAGGAAGTCAATACGGGGATAGAGGTTCTGGAAGCCGAAGGCTTTTCTGAGACTGGGCTCGAGGTCTCATTTGACCCGCTCATCTCTTTAGATGGTTTAGTGGCCTGGAACAAAAACAGGGTCAGGGGTCAGAGAGAGGAAGGGAGAGCCTTCACACTGGCCCCCAATCAAAGCTTTAAAAATGAGACACTTCCACAAATCCAAGAAACAATTAACAGCAAAAGGAAGAAACCAGAGTGGGATCTGGAGAGAGAGAGAAAGGAGGCCACGGCAGGGGCGGAAAGGAGATGGGAGACGGGGGAGGCGTGGAGCTGGGAGTTGAACGAAAGGACCTGGGAAGCCAGACTGGGAGGGTAGTCCCCAGTTACTGATGGAAAAGAGAGAAGGCAGGAGAGAGAACAAGAGGGACACAAGGGAGACCGTGCCCAGGACACACAGGCAGGGAGGCAGGGAGTGGGCAGAGGACGGGGAGGGAGAAAGAAGAAGTGAAATGTTAGCTGCGACAGGGGTGCAGCTCTTTGGGCAGGGAGGCAACAGGGGAGCAGCCAGGCTGAGGGTGTGCAGGCTCTTAGTCCCAGTGGCCAGCATCCAGACAGGCCCCCTCCAGCCCCAGGAGGTCTAGTGGGGGACCTGAGGAGCCAGTCTGTCCTTCCAGCAGAGCACTCCTCTAGAGTGCCCCCACCTGTAACCTGGGAAGGCAGGCCCTGATTTAGTGTAGCCCCAGCCCCTGGCTCAACGCAGGAACTGACCATACCCTCACCAGTGCTCCCCCAGCTTTGAGTTGCATCACACCGCTAACACCAGGGCCCCCTCCCTCATGGGGCGTGCTGTACTCACTAGTCAGCTCTAAGAGCTAGCAATGCCTGTCCTCCCTCCTCCCCACCTCTCAGATGCCCTGTCCCTATATTAGCCCTGGAGATTTGTTCTCTGAAGGCGAGATCACCAAATCATGAGCTGAAAGCCATGTGCATCAGCTCAAGGGGATGACATGTGGCACATGTTAAAGTGCAGATTCCTGGGCCTGCACCAGCTTCCATCTCTTGACCTAGCTCAGGAATCTGCATTTTAAATAAGCATCTCAGGTGGTTCCACAGTACTTTAACCCTCTAGGTTAGGGCTCCATGGTGCAGGCTTTCTCCTCGGAGTTGTCTGCACTCTCCCTCTCAACCTTGCTTAGCTACTAGTGTGATAACTGCCTGGCCTTGGTAAGAAAAGGACAGTCCTGAGCTGCATCACCAGAGACCTTCCTGCAGGTCAGGTCTGGTCAGGGTCACTCCATTTCCCTCAGGCCCACTCATATCATCACCTAGTGATCTCCTTCTATCTCACACACAAGGATATGGGGTGGCTCTATCAGCTGCCTCACTGGGTCAAGCTGGACGGTGCCGAAAGCAGGCCCTGTCTCCAGCAGCCTGGACATTCTTCCCAAGAGAAATGAGGAGACTGCACCCAACCACTGCTGGTGATCACCTTATTTCCTTCCACATGTGCATAAATGGTCCATTCAGTGATTCGTCCTGCATTTTGCCAGGAACATACATCCATCTCACCACTCCATAGTTCACAAAATCTACATTTTACCCATTTGGGACTTCTAGTCCCTTTCCTCTGTATGTGGTTGCTGAACCATTACTCAAAGAGATTCTAGGCCATATCCACAGGACCTTTTGCTTCACTGAGTCCTTTGCTGAGTGCCAACTATGTGCCAGGCATAGCCCCTGCCCTCATGGGGCTCCCAGTACCTGGGCCTGGAGACAAAGTCATTGAAGGCAACCAAGAGCTCTCCAACTATCTTGTCACTTACCTCAGGCTTCAGGGCTCTGCCCCCTCCCTCTACCCTTCTCCGTTTAAAGATCTTTCTTGCAAAGCCAAGTAGAAAGGAACCATGTCTGCTTTCTCAGGAAGAGCAGGGTCTCTTCCCATCTCACCATGTCCCCATGCAAGGTGGCGATTCCCTCCAGCTCTCTTCTGTGTTCTGAACTTATCTTCCTGGTTAAAATCTTTCCTGTTCCTTTTCTCATTTTTCAGGAGCCTCAGTCCATCCCAAGCTTGAGTCTGAGAACACCTATCTTTGCCCCCACTTGCTTCCTGTGTTCACACTGGTGGTGTGTCCTCACCCAGGCGCCATGCCCCTCCTTCCACAGTCAGTGCCAGCCCTTTCAACAGCAGCATACAGCAGCATTTGCCAGTTTATGTGCCTGCCTCCCCCTTTCTCCTTCACGGTCACACTGTAGCATCTGGTTTTTTAAGTCCTCTCAGGCCATCTTCCCTCCCAGGAGCCTCTGGACACGGCACCATCCAAAACCCCGAAGCTGAGGAAGCACATCCAACTGTGCCCAGTGGCCCTGCTTTGTGTGGCTTGGCATTCTTTGGTGACACAGCTGCTGTCTCTGAAGGTTCCCATCACTTTCCTTTCACAAGCCAGTCCCCTGTTGGTCTCAATATGTCCAGAGAAGCAGAACGCTGTCAACTTTATGGGTAGGTAGAACCCCCAGGGATGTTCCGCTTCAGCTGGATGGAATGCGGAAGAGCCGGCTGAGTTGGAGAGCTGAGTCCTGCACGTGGCTCTCTTGCCTGGACGGAGTCTACCCTTCACGCTGTGCCCAGAGCACGTGGATCCACCCTCCATGCTCCAGGGCACAGTCTTCCATCAAGGACATCTTCATGAGGCAGACCTTGCTGCCTGCCTCCTCCAGGGTCGTTCCCAGTACACCCTCTCCACAGACCCCTTGTCCTTGCGAACTAAATCCTGCCCGAATCAGGCACTGGGCTCCCATAGGCTTCAGAAGAAGCCAGGCTGCCCCAGCCCACGAGGTGAATCCTGATAGATCTATGCCAATTAGACCAATGCCTTTCTCCTTGCCAGTGACTGATTTAGGAAAGGTCCAATGAGAAGAGACAGGATATTTGTGGGGACCTGCCAGAAAAGGTTTGGGTGAACACTCATACCCATCTGCTGCCATTCTGGGCATGAAGGAAGGAGCAGTCTGGACAGGATGAGGGGAACTCCTCCATGGTGGTGGCAGGAAAGATGGGTGGAGACTGTGGAAAGGGTAGGGAATCTCACCCACCTCGCTGCCTCCCTGGGCACCCACTGGCAACAGAAGGAGCCACCACGGCAGTACTGTGACAGATGCTGGAACTCAGGGGCAGGAGTGACAGTGCATGTACGTGGTAGGGAGGCAACTGGAAGTGGCAGGAGAAGGTGCTGGGGGTGGGACTCCCAGGGTGTATCTGGGCAAGACAATGTGTGGAGAGCCTGGCCGGGGCAGGTGGGACCTGGATGCTCAGTCTCTGTAGATTCTCTAGGGAGCCACTGGGCAGGCAGGGCATCGGGTGCCCAGGGCTGTTGCAGCACCATGTGATGGCAAGGCCTTTGGGATACCTGGGTCCCAATCCCAGCTCTAATGCCAACTTGCTGTGTGCTCTTGGGAAGTCCCTTCCCTCCTCTGTAAAGGAAGTGGCTGGACTCCATTTCTTGCCTCTTGCCCCAGAGCCGAGAGTCTTCTTAAAGCCACAGCATGCTGACATTGCATAGCCCCTGCCCTACTGCAGGACACAGACACAGACCGGGGCCTGGCATCCAGAGATGCTAACAGTAGTTACTGAACCAGCCAAGGGCACTAAGGGGCTCTCTCAAAATCCTGGTCCAGGGACCACATGGGGGGCACAGATGAGGTCTTCCTACTCCATACATTCCCCCAGCCTGCTAATTCTGAAAGATGCCACAGTATCCCTGTAACTCCCTCCGTGTAATCCCCACCCCTTCTGGGGTCCCAAGTCCCTCTCCCTTGTCCCCCTCCCCCTCCAAATCAGCTGTGAATCCAGTGAAACCCAACCATAAGGCTGAAAAGCAGATGCACACTCAGTTTCTCCACTGGCTGGGGGATCTCACCTAAGAGCTAAGGGGGGTGCTGAGAGGAGAGTGGGGCCTTCAAGAGCCCATGAGCACAAAAGAGCAGGAAGAAGGAAGCAGAGGGGAGGAGCTGGGTGGCAGAAGATGGGGGCATAAAGTGCCCTCTCCCCCACTCCAAGGTAGGCACCCCTCATGCCCTCTTTCAGGAGCTGGGTGAAGGGAAGCCAGGGACATCTCCTCTGCTCCTGAGCCAGAGGACTTCTGAGAGAGAGAGGAGCCTGGCTGAGAACTCATGTTCTAACTTCATCCAGAGTGCTAGGATTGGGGGGAAGAGGGAGAAGCTGGTTCAAAGCCATTGGTGAGCAGTCCTGGCCTGGAAGGGCCTCTCTGGGCAGCAGAGGGATGGGTCACAGGAATACTGCAGGAGATGGTTACGAACCTCTGCAGGTACTGAGACCCCTTGGTGAACCCAGCCCTGCCTCCAGCCTCACCCCACCCCCGACCCCACTCCACCCTTACCTGTTGCTGGGCCTGGATCCTCATGTACTCAGCCCTTTGCTTCCCATGTTTGCTTTTGTCCGGGCTGCCTGCCTGGCCTTGGGCCGCCTTCAGCCGAGAGGCCCCCGGAGTCACCACCTTCATGGGTGGCACACTGCCACCACCACTCTGCGGGAAGAGGAACAAGGTTGAGTTGGGGGTTCCAGGAGGAGGTGGAATCACACAGGACCCCCAGGGATTTGGTGGGTCTTTGGGGCTGGGACCGTCTCAGTGGAGACCTGGAGACTCCCTGGATCCACTTTCCAGTCCAGGACTCAGGCTTGGTCTCTGAGCCCAGGGATCAGGTCTCCCCAGCATCTCGTAAGAACTCTGATGTCCCTTGAGTAGCCCAGGGACAACTGGTGTCCTCCTAGGGGGTCATTTCTAGAATGGTGGTTTCTGGCCCCACCTCCACTCCAGGCAAAGGACCCCGTCCTGGGCCCAGCAGCACATGCTTAAGACTATGGCTGGTCTCTACAAATGACAGGCAGAGCAACTAGAACCACCCTGTTCTCTAATGGAAGGATGAGGGTGAAGTCTCCCAGAGATGGAGGAGACCTGAACCGAGTTCAGGCCCCTTGAACCAGCCCAGGTACCAGACCTGCCCAGAGGGGACCCAGAGACGCAGGTAGAGAAACCACAGAGACAGAGAGAGCCAGAGACAGGAGAGGGGAAGGGGAGTGTGTGGATGGAAATGGGAGAGAGAACTTTATTTGTTCTTGTACAGATACAGAGCAGAGGGGAAGAGGCCCAGTCCCTGCTCAGGGCTTGGGGAGTGGGCAGACCCCTGGGAAAGCCGGCTTCCCGGCCTACCCTGGGCTCTGCTTGCAAACCCCTGCCCGGCGCCAGGCTCCCAGAAAGACAGCAGGAGCTGAGAGAAGGCCAACAGGAGGGGGCTGCCGTGGGGCTCCTGCAGCCCGCACTCCCTCCAGCTCTGAAGGCAGACAGACTGCAGCAAGTAGGCACGGGGGAGGGGGGAGCACAGTAGAGGCAGCAGCCACCTGGGGGCGAGGGGGCAGGAGCGGCGGGCTGCCAGGGGGCCCTGTGGGGACCCTGCTCATCTCGCTCAGGGTGGCTTCCAGCTCCCGAAGAGTCTCCTCCAGGCTGTCCACCCGCTGCGGGGTGGTGCTCCTCACTGCGTGGCTGAGGCCTGCAGCCAGTGGGCCCTGATGCTCCCTGCTGCAGGTGTGGGCATCACGTCCAGAGTCCTTGGGGGTCTTCTCTGGGTAGGCTTCCATGGTAGAGGGCTCCCGAGTCCCACTAAAGGCTGGTCCCTGAGGACAGGGGCCCCCAGCTCCTCCATCCTCTGGGCTGTAGACCCTTCTACCCAGTGTCTTCAGCATCGTTCCTTCCTTCTTGGGCACAGAGCTGCTCCTGGGTTGGGGAGCCTCAACTGCTACCCCTGGTGGGGCCTGTGGGCCATTCCAGCCCCTCTCACTGCCAGCCAGGGTCCTGGGACATGGGGTGGGGACCATCCTGGGGCCAGGTTTCTCAGGCCTGGCCTCTGGTAGGGAGGGGGGGTTGGGGGCACACTCCGTCAAGATGATCTGAGGGACACAGAAGGCCCTGGGACCCACGGTAGCCTGAGGAGAGAAAGAAGATGAGGAAAAGTGTGACCCCTGCCACTCCAAGTGCCTGAGCTGGGATGAGGGGTTAGAGATGAGTGAGGCCAGCCCATTCCTTTCACTGATGGGGAAACTGAGGCAGGGGGAAGAGGCAGTGCTGGAACTAGAACTCAGGTCTTTCTCCACCACACCCTATAGCCCCCCACTTTCTGGTCAAGGTGCCAGTTTATCTAGAAGCACTGACACATGTCACTTCTCATCTCCCGTGTTAAACTCTGGGAGCAGGTCTCATCTTGTGGTTATTCCTGATGAGTTTGCCCATCTGTGTAATGGGAGAACAATAACACCCTCACGGTGGGGCTGGTGGAGAATGAAGTGAGTTCATGTGGGCATCTGGCACATTGTAAGTGCTTGATAAATACGAGCTATATGTTCAAATGCACTGAATGACTGAGACCATATGTTCTATGGGCAGAGACTTCAAGGATGAGGAAGTCATTCTAGGTCAGGCCAGGATGGTCTCCTCTACCCACCTTCTTTCATAGCCATAAGGTGAAGGGCTCAGTCTTTGCCAAGTTCCTCTGCTGCACACACACACTCGGCAAAGCTCCCTCTGGCCATGTGCCTCTGTGTAAGCATTCCAGGCTCTGGCCTCAGTGGGGTGCAGAGAGTAGCCCCCAGTCATCCTCACCCAACTTTAGGGAATCCCAGTCTAATTCCAATGATCGGTTTTGTGCCAGGCATTGTCATATAGTCCACCTTCCATCCTCACTAACCTGTGACATGTCTACTACTCTCACTGTCCCTACTTTACAGAGGAGGGAGCTGAGAGAGAGAAAGATTAAGTGATTTGCTCAAGGTCACTTAACAACAGCTAGTCAGTGGCAGAGGTAGGATTTGAATCCAGGCAGCCTGACTCCAAGACCAGTGCTCTTTCCACTAGAAGGAGCTATGGGGAGATGTATGGGGAGGAGTAGGGACCCTAACACTTCCCTCCCAAGACAACCCACTCAGCCCTGCCACCTGCTTACCTGGAGGTGGGGGGTGCAGACTGGGGAGGGAGAGTGGACGGCCCCACGCCTGCCCGGCTCCACTGCCTGATGGTACCTCAGGATGCAGAGGATCAGCCAGACCCAAAAGGCCAGGGATGGCCCCTTTAGGACTGGCTCTGAGCCAAAAAGAGGCAGGAGCTGAGTGTGGTGGGTCAAGGTGCTGAGGGCACAGCCAGCTCGGGAGGCACCCCGCCCACCCTGCCCAGTCCCAAAAGGCTCCCCAGACTGCTCTGGGCCCATCCTTTGCCCAGCAGATGGCATTATCCACCCATCTGGTCCCCGTCTGCTTCTCCAGGCCAGGGAGCCAAAGCACAACCAGGCCTTAAGCCACGCCAGGAATCAGGTGGAAGCCAGCAGGGAGCCCAGTGTTGGTCAAGGAGAGCCAGATGAGGAAGGAGAGTGTGCACAGGGGACTGGCCCTCCTCAGAGCAGGGGCCCTGTGGCCCCAAGTTCACTGGGCAGAGGGAGAGATACCCAGACCCTTCCCCATCCTCCCCAAGCCAGTAGCACAGCCCGCAGGGGTGCAGACAGTGGTCTATCCCAGAATTCGCAAGGAGGAAGTAAGTGCAGCAGGACAGCAGCAAAGACTGAAATTAGGAGAAGGAAGAACTTGCCAATGCTGAAAGATACAGAACCAGCAGCCAAGGAAGAGTGTGGGTTTCTTCCATTCCAAGCTCCATGACCAGAAGAGGCAAGATGGGGCCATGGGAGGAAGAAAGCTGAGAGGTGTCCTGGTCCCCAGAGCAAGACATAGATTCTAGTGAAAGGAACGGAGCCTCCTCCTGGCACAGGCAGCAGAGTAGGGGAGATGGGGCGAGGACTAGGCGGGGGCCCAAGCCAAAGTCTGTTTTTGAGCCAGATCTAAAGCTATCCAGTGAGCAAGATCTAAATTCTGATCTTGGACCAAGGAAAAAAGGCAGGCTTCTTCATGCCAGACCAAGAGTCAGGCACCAGGTCAGAACAAAACACCCCACATTCAATGGGCCAGACTCAGAACAAGCCTAAAAAAAAGTGCAAACCAAGTACCACCAGGTACCAGGCAAGAGGCAGTGGATCTGCCTCAGGCTGCCAACGTCTCCAGGAAACCTGTCTAGAAGGCTGGAGGGAAAGAAGGGTCCCACACCTGGCCCCTGGGGGAGGGGAGTGAGTCCACGTGTGTGAAGCTGGGCCAGTGGCAGGATGCAGGGGCAGTGACTGGCATATTAGCGCGTTAGCGTGAGAGGTGAGGAGAGGAAGCTGTGGAGGGACAGGCAAAGAGAGCCGTGAGAGGTGGGGAGCAGCCCCGTTACCTTCCATGTGGGGCCCAGAGCTGAGCCCCCGGGGGACCCCAGGTCCTGGGGGGACAGCAAGGTGGGGATCGGCTGGCGACGGGGCGTGGGGGGAAGGGAAGACACTGAGCTTCTCTCAAATACCTAGGGAGCAGAAGGCAGGGGCAGGTTTGCAGGAGGGGGCAACACGAAGGATGGAGGTGCTGGCCCACGGCTCAGGCATACACAGGGGTGGGTGACGTGGGCTGGCACTGGAGCCCCAGCCTCACACCCCTTGGGCTCTCACCATGGCCACTGGCCCACTCTGCCCTCTTTCATCTCCTCTTCCAGAGACTCCTGGCAGTACAGGGTCTCCAAGCACTCAGAGTGAGGGCACCTCAGCACTTGAGTATGGGGGTCTTACTGCACTGAAAGAATCTCAAGGCCTTAGGTATAGGGGGCTCAGAACATTCTGTACTCAGGACACTCAGGTATGGAGTCTCAGAGCACAGTTTTCATGACACGGATGAGGCATCTCAGAGCACAGTTTCCATGCACTTGGGTATGGGGTCTCATAGCAGCACTCTGTTCTCAGAACACTCAGGTATGGAGGCTCAGAGCATTCTGTTCTGAGAATACATATATGGAGGCACAGAGCACTCTTTCATGGGGACACTCATAAATGAGGTCTTGGAATGGGTGTCTCAAGGCACTCAGGGGGTCTCAGAGACTCCAATCAACGAGCCCAGTCCCACATGGACTGCAGAATTTCCTTCCACAGTTTTCAGTGGAGAAGAAATCGAGGCTGCAAGGATTAGCTCACAGATGGGGCAGTGGGCCATGGCCAAGGGCTCAGGGACAGCGAGTGTCCCTGACCTACCTCCAGCTCTGCGATGATGCGGTCCTCATCGTCCTCATCCTTGATAGCAGAAGCCATGATGGGCGGCGTGGAGGCTGGGCGGACCACCTCGGACACGGTCCGGCGCAGCTTCACCTGTGGCTTCTGCACCTCCAACTCTTCTGACTCAGCCTTCTGCAAGGCCAGTGCCCCATCAAGACCAGGCTCTGCCCCTTTCAGCACCAGCTCACCTTCCAGGCCCACCAAGCTATCTCCCATCAACCATCTCCCACCAACCCTAGCCCCTCATCTGCCACTTCCTCTGTCCCCTATCAGGATGTCCCCAACAGCAAAGGTTTGCGGTGGAAGTGGAGCAAACACACACCCTTGGGACCTTGAGCCACAAGTACAGAGTCACCATTGGCCACTCCCTTCTTTCCTTCTACTTCCTCTCAGAGCAGAGCTTTGCCCCCACCCCAGAGGGTCTCTAGAAGTTACCTCAGGGATCCCCCTAACTCAGCCACCCCTGTCCCCTGCACATGGTGGTACCTTGATGAAGGCCGAGTCCTTCTTGCTGGTGACTACAACCTCGCCAGTGCGTGTGGTGGTCAGGCCATGGGAGGACGGGAAGCTCCGGCGGGGAGGGGGCGGCGGGGGTGACTTGGAGGGCTTCTCTGTGCGGTAGCGGGGCACTGTCAGTTCATCTGCAGACAGCCAAGGGGCTGGGGGTCAGAGGGCCTATAGCTCTGGAGTCAGGGCTCCATATCTGACTGTGGGATAAACCAGCCTCTTCCTCCAGGGGAGAAAAGGAAGAGGAGAGGAGACGGCAGGGGAAAAGACACAGCGGCCCTTCCACATCTCTTACCTCCCCCTCCGATTCAGCACCGAGACCTGTCAACACTTCCAGTTACAGCATTCTAACCCTTCCTACTCAAAGTGAGGTCCATAGACCAGCAGCATCAGCTGCTCTGGGAGCTTGTGAGACCCTCGGAATCGGCAGAATCAGATCTGCACTTTAACAGATCAGATGGTTCGTGTGCACATTCCAGCTTGAGAGGCTCGGCTCTAGTCCATCTCTTCTCCACCCACCCCTCATCCCTGCCAGGGCTGGACCTTCATCCTTTCTCAATTGAGCAGTTACTATTGCAAGAACCTCAACCTTCTCACCAGTCTCTCCTTCTCCCAAATTATTCCCAGACCCTGTTTCCTGAGCCACCTGCTGGATGTCTACTCTAGCCAGGATGTTCTCCTGTCTTTCATCCTCCTGTGGCTCTCCACACCCCTCCCTCCAGGCCCCATCCAAACTCCTTTACCCAGCACCCAGCACCATCTGCACCTGCCTGCCTTTCAGCCTCAGCTCCACTGGCTACTCCCAGGCTTGGTACCCTGCTCTGGTAATGCCAATGTCACTCCTCTAGGCATGTGCCCTCTCCCTGGAATGCTCTCCTTCACCGCCCAAGGAAGGGCCAAGTCTCCTCCTCCAGGAGGCCTCCCTCCTTTCCCAGGGCTCCTCTGGCACAGCACAGAGCTGACGCTCACCTCTGCCATTACATTTAGTCCTGAAATCTATTTCTGATTTTATGTACTAGGTATGGCCTGCAACAGATTACTTAACCATGCTGAGCCTTAGTGTCCTCTCTGCAAAATGGGAATAACTATATCTGCCTCCTCGGGGTGGTATGAAATTATAAACATGAACATGTGGAAAGCATTTGGGTCAGTTCCTGTCACATGTTGTTGTTGTTGTTGTTGTTGTTGTTTGCCATCAAGTCAGCCCCGACTCATGGCGACCCCTCCTTGGGTATCCGAGGCAGTGTCACTACGGAAGTAGGATTGCCCAACCTTCCTTCCGAGGAGTGGCTGGTGGGTTTGAACCGCCAGCCTTCTGGTGAGCAGTCAAGTGCCGTAGGCACTATGCTACCAGAGCTCCTGCCTGTCACACAGTACCCCAAAACCCATTGCCATAAATCAATTCCAACTCCTAGCGACCCTATAGGACAGAGCATAACCGTCCCATAAAGTTTCAGAGGCTGTACGTCTTTACAGGAGCGAATTGCCACATCTTTCTCCTGCAGAGCAGCTGGTGGGTTTGAACCACGAATCTTTTGGTTAGCAGATGAGCGCTTTAACCACTGTGGCCCGGGGCTTCTCTGTTACATACTTAGTGCCAGGTAAACATAAATACTAATATTATTTCCCCCGCGAGATTCTGAGCTTCTTGAAAACAAGCACTGTTATTCATTTCCTTATCCTCAGCACCTGGCCCACAGCAGGTGCTTAAACAAGTATGTGTTGCAGCAGTGAATGAATGAGTGCTGTTTTTGGTTCGTATTTTTGCCTCCCCTACAGCCTGTCAGCCTGGGGGGCTCAGGAACCATGTCAGTGGCCATCAGGACGAGCCTGGGACACAGCATGCACTCACGGGAAACAATGTACAGGAGCAGGGCTGTCTGCCTGGACTTGGTCAGCCTCCCTGCAGTCCTCTATGCAGCCTTTGGGGCAATGGGAAAGCCCTGCATGCGGTCAGGAGACCAGCTCTATCTACCCCAGGCCTCCCTGACCTCAGCGTCCTTAGTGGACTGAGAGTGCAGCTTCTGGTCGCCCAGCTCCACCCTTCTTGGCAACTTGGCCTCGATGGTTCTCACTCCCATATGCCTCCCCACCAACCTGAGCACCTGAGGGTGGGTGGGGGTCCCTTCCTCTGGGCTCTCCACCCTCCCCTACTTGCCCCCATACCTGAGCCCCTCCTCCCGCTGGGCTCTGTTCGGGGGGCTGCCTTCTGGCCATGGGGAACCTTAGGGGACTTGTGGTCAGGGGTGGGAGCCGGGCCTGGGTGGGCCTTGCTTGCACAGTCCAGGTCAGGGATGGCCTTGAGCAGCTCTGCCTGTGTCTCCTCCAGCAGCCGGTTGATGTCCTTGGCGCTGTACTGGGTCAAGGCTGCTCGCTTCTCCTCCCAGTCCCGCTCAGCAGCCTTGAGAAGAGGGGGCAAGAGTCAGGCTGAACTGGCTTCACTCCTCCACCTCTGTGGCCTCAGCCCCTCCCCAGTCACACACACAAGCAATGGAAAAGAGAACCTCAAATCTGATCTGGGCCCTAGAGGACCCTCAATATCTCCTTGAGTAATACATGCTTTCCCTATAGGTCTGGAATGCCACCTTCCTTATATACTGTAGTTTTGATGTATCTGGACCTGTTTCTGGACATTCTATTCTTTCACTGACTTGCATAATTTATTCTTATGCTGACACTATACTGCTTTAATTAGTATAGCTTTATAATATGTTTGGGTTTTGTTCTAGCAGAATTAATGTCATCCTCATCATGCTTCTCAGACTTTCATTAGAGAAGTGATTCCCCCTGTCAGGAAGAAGTACCCATATGCCCAGAACTTCTCACCCTAGGGTGGTGGTAAGAATGCATGAATCTAGCTCATTCCCCTAATCCATCTCCAACCCAGGCCCCAGTACCTCAACAGACACAGCCTTGTCCATGCTTCTCTTGCCAGGAGCGTCCAGGCCTTTGGTGGGGTTGCCGCCCTTTGGGGTCAGGGGGACGCCCTCAGCTGGCCCACTCAGCTCGTGCAGGTTCAGCGGAGGGCTGGGGGGTGGTATTTCAAAGTCCAAGCTCTTGCTGAAGTCAGTCTCGGCTGTCATTTTCTTGGGGGACTGATTCAGGAGGTTGTTGGGGGGTGGCCACACACCCTCGTCCACTTGCCTGAGGTTGGAAGAGTTGGGAGCAACTGTGAGGTCAGCAGGGTGGCCCCATGGGACAGAAGCCTGGCCTGAGGGAGGTGAGGTGTGAGGAGAGCTCAGGGATCTTGCAGGAGAGATGGAAGGGCTGGGGAAGGACTGACTGCATTCAATATAAGGGAAAGCTGAGTGTACAACACGCAGAGGGTCACAGGTCAGAGTTGAAGGGCAGATCCAGTCGGCGCATCAGTGGCCTTTGGGGAAGTCAGGATAAGGGTTCAGGTTGCTCTACTGATTTGAGCTCAGTGTGAGAACCATGGGAAATCAGAGGTCAGGGATAGAATGACCTTCGGATCTGGGCCAGCGTGTCCGTGACCCCACGGCAGCGCTTGAGTAACCCGTCCAGGCGCTGTGGCTCCTCCTTCAGGAACTTCACCGCCTCCACCTCCACACGCAGCACTACCCGCATCTTGCTCTGCAGGCCTGGGAAGTGAGCTGAGAGGAGGGTGGGAAGGAGTGAGCTGGGGAGGGAAGGAGCACTGAGGGGTGGGAGGATAGGCAGCAGGGAGGACAGTTGGGGTGTGGCCTGAGAGTGCAGAGGGACCCCTTTGTTGACCATGTGCCACCTGCCAACTCTCAAGCTTACCCTTGAGTTCAGTCAATGTCTCCCCGAGCTGCTTCAGGACCAGCGCCTTCTCCTCCAGTTCAGGCCCAGGTACCAACCGGTGATTGTGTGACACTTCCCTCTGAATCTTCTCCACTGACTTCTCCAGGTCACTGTAGCCACAGAGAGACCCTCTCAGCCCCTCTGGCCCAAGCCCAGCCCCCTGACATTGGGCAGCTGGAAAGAAATCAGGCCACTGGTCAGATTAAAATTAAAAGTCATCCATCAGGGAAGGTGGAACACCACCTTCATTATACACTATACCCTAGATATACTTGAAACTGTTTCTGAACATGCTATTCTGTTTCATTGACTGTATAGTTTATTCTTATACTAATACCTAACTAATTAATTAGGGAGCTCTGGTGGTATAGTGCCTAAGGCATTTGACTGGTAACCAGAAGGCTGGTGGTTCAAACTCACCAGCCACTCCTCGGAAGGAAGGCTGGGCAATCTACTTCCATAGTGATATCGCCTCGGAAACCCAAGGAGGGGTCACTATGAGTTGGATCCAACTCGAGGCAGTGCGTAGGTAGGTAGGTAACTAATTAACTCACTGCCATCGAGTCAATTTGATTCATAGCGACCCCTCCTTGGGTTTCCGAGGTGGTATCTCTAAGGAAGTAGATTGCCCAATCTTCCTTCCAAGGAGTGGCTGGTGTGTATGAACCACTAGCCTTCTGGTTAGCAGTCAAATGCCTTAGGCACTATGCCATCAGAACTCCCATACTAACACACTGCTTTAATTATTATAGCTCTATAACATGTTTTCTTTTTTTTTTTTTCAGTCTAGCAGGACTAATGTCATCCTTGTTATGCTTCTCAGACTTCTACTAGGGAACACATACACCCACACATGCCCAAATGAAATCAGAAATGTCAACTCTCAGAGATGAAGAGACCTCATGAGGGGCCCTGGGCACCCCCACTGGAAGCTCTGATCTTGAGCAAGCTCAGCCCGAATCTCCCTGCAACTTAGGTTCCCTGATCCTCACTCTACCACAAAGGCAGCAGAGACCTCGGCTGTCTTTCTGAGAGCTGCACGTGCCCCCGGGGGGTCTCTTCTCTAGAGGGGTCATCATCATATCCCTCTACCTTTTCTCAGATGATCCAGCCACCCAGCCTTTTTCCCTGGGGCCTAAGACAGTTTTACATTTTCAGCTTGTTTACGCTGAGCTTGAGCCATCTAAAACCCCATACCTTCCTAAACTGCAAAATCAGACCAAGTCACCACCCCCTGCCTTGGACCCTAAATGGATCCCTTTATTCTCAGGTTAAAATCCAAATTCTCTAATGCGGCCATCCAGGGCATAAGGGCAGTAGATGAAAACTTGGCTCTTGAGTCACAGTTCCAATCCCAGCTCTGCCCTTCCCAGCTAAGAGATTTCAGGCAAGTTATGTCATTTCTCCAGGCCTTGATTTCCTGATCCAACACATGGGAGGATAAGAGTTTCTCCCTCATGGGGCCATGATGAGGATTAAATGAGTTAGTGAAGATTAGAAAGCATGTGGCAAGTCTCCAGTCCACGGGAGCGGCTCTAGAGTCTCCTGTGGCTGCATCTTCTGCCGGCTTGCTGGCTTGTTCAAAGCAGTTCAGAGCTCTCTCTTGCCGATTTCCCTGCCTAGAATGCTTCTCTCTCCAGCACTCTCTCTCTCTCTCATACACACACACACACACACACACACACATCCTATCATTTAATCTCCATTTGTCCTCAGATCTCAGTGGGAACCCCTCTCCCAGGCTCTGCACTTAGGGTGATCTGCTTCATGCCCCCCAAACTCCTGAAGCTCCCGTTCACTGGGCTATACACACTTTGGAACCACCAACTCCAAGCAGGGAGGGACCACATCTCCTGGGTTCACCTCTGATTCCCAGAGCCTGGCACAATGCTGAGTGAAGAGTGGATGGCTGCTAAATAACTGTGACATGAATGAGGAACTGAAGGCAGGGGCTCCTGCCCAGGTAGGTCACCTCTATGCTGGGCCTGAGCCACTGACATCCCTGACCCACATGCAGGACTTTATAGCCATCCCTGTCAAATCCCATCTGCTGGATTTCAGCCTGACAATCCAGGTGGGAATAACTTTTGAATCCCTGTTCTATCGTCCAACAGATTTGCTCCCCCTTACAGTTCCATGTCATCAGCAAATCTTATCAGCATGCCTTCCTTACACATCTCCATCCAACTAGCAGGTGAAAAGACAGACGAGGTTGGAGCTGAGGATAAACTCCTGTGACTCAGCACCAACAGCTGAAGCGCTGTCTTGAATTAAGCACTTACTTACACCGGATGCCACACTTCAGCCCTTGACTTTCATTACCTTATTTAATAATCCAACAAATACTATAAGGTGGGAACTGTTATTACCTCCAGTCTGTTGTTATGTTGTTATATGCCGTGGAGTCGGCACCTGGGTAAATGGTGGCCCAGAGACTAGACTACATTTCCCAGCCTCCCTTGCAGTTAGTAGTGGCCATTCAACTAAGGTCTAGCCAATGGAATATGTGCTGCTTCCAGACCAGGCCCTCAGGAGCTCCCCAATTAGCTCCTCCTTGCTTTTTTTGAGGATGGCTGGAAAAGTGATGATATCCCTGGGTAACCTTGGAAGGCACATGTTGAAGATGGCAGAAACTCCATCAGCCTGAATCCTTGAATGACTGCATGGAAGACAGCCATTCCATTAACCCACTCAACACTGTTGGGTTAAAAAGAAAGAAATGCCTTCTTTGGAACTGATATACAATTTGGGGGCTTATTTGTTACAGTGGGGTCCCTAGGTGGTGCAAAGAGTTAACAAGCTTGGCTGCTAACCAAAAGTTTACCACCTACCCAGAGATGTCTTGCAAGAAAGGCCTGACAGTCTGCTGCTGAAAATTCAGCCATTGACAGCCCTGGGGAGCACACACATGGGGTCGCCATGAGTCAAGAATCAACTCAACAGCAACTGGGTAACTGGTAGTTGTTATAGCAACCATGCCAACTAATTAATTAGCTACCCTAATTAATACAACTGATTTTGGGCTTTTGTTTTGTTTTTGTTTTTAAAGAGCCTCAAAGAAATTAAATAACTTGTTGTGGTAGTTAAATTTGTGTGTCAACTTGGCTAGGCCTGGTTGAGTGGCTGGGCAGCTGAATGCAGTTATTCCCCATGGTAAGATTGGTAATTATCTCCATGGTGGAATGTATTGGAGCAGCTGAGTAGCTGCTTTAGGGATGTGGTCTGCTTCCCATATATAAGCAGCAGCTTTGGGAATGGTCTCTAGCTTATGGCACACTTGGATCCTGCATGTAGCCATGTCGTTATTCAGCAGCCTGCCATGCTCTGTCAACCTTGGACTTACAATGGACTTGAATTAATGGCCTGCTGTGTGGTTTGGTAACATCAGGACTGTGGCATTTTATTTATTGACCTTGGGCTTGTTAGCCTCAGCAGCCAGTAGCTGCCTGAGTGAAAAGATGCCTCTAGCTTCAGTGGGCTGGGAGCGAGAGGCAGAGGTGAAGCCCAAGGTCAAGGGGCTTTCACACAGCCCTTAGAACCTGGCACTTTGAACTTGGACTTCTAGCCTCCTGAACTGTAAGAGAATAAACTCCTGTTTGTTAAGGTCATCCCATTTGTGGTATCTTCTGTTAGAGTGGCACTAGGTAACCAGAACGCTTGTGCAAGGTAATGCTATTTTGTGGTAAAGCAAGATCTACTTCAGCCACTGGGCTCTGGTACATCTGCCTTCCACACTGGATTGGCAGCACATACACACACACACACCCTGTCCCACCCACTGTTCTCCAACCTGGGAAAGACCAACGCCTCTCTGCCTATGTGTGTGCAGGGTATGCCAGATTTGTAAAATGGTCACTCCCAAACATCACTCTGGGGGAGAAGAGATCCCCACTTAAAGGAGGACTCAGACAAACGTTCAGAAGACAATAGTGCCATGCTAAGGTGGGAAGGGATCAGGCCTCCTTAGGCCCCACCAGTTCCCTGATTTTCTGTTGATTCAGTCTTCCCTAACCTGTGCAGGCCCTGCACTCTGCCAAGAGTCCCACACCAGCTGCTCCAGACATTGGGATCAAAAAGTGGTTGAGGGGGGTTCCGGCAAGATGGCGGACTAGGCAGAAGGATTGCACAGACCCTCTTCAACAAAGAAAAGGGAAACCAATTAACACAGACACAGAAGATAATCT